TTGGATGGCGTCCATTCCTTACAGGCGCGGGAATAAAAGAAGAAACGGTTCCCGACATTTCCCTACTATTCTCACCACTCTTCCCGCTTCTCCTGTCTTCGTCACTGCTTGCTTGCAACCTGCTTTACAAATTCAGCCGTTAGGTGGAGCGTTTCTACTGTCAGCAGCCCAGGGACTTCATCTGCGGCATCTGCGGGCTGGGAGGGATGCTCTGCCGGGGTGCTGAATAATCCCTCTGTGCTGGGATCTGCTGGCTGCAGGTGGACGTGAAAAACGCTAAAATGGGGGTGTGTGTGTTGCATTTTAATCTGAGGTCTTTTCTATTCTCTTTAGTGCTTTCTTCAATTGCCAGCTCCGTTGACATCCAAAAAAGTACAAAGGGGAAAATCTGAGACAGATGGTACAACTTAAGGTATTGGTCCCTACCTTTTTTTTGTATGTGTTAAAGGTTGTTTGAGACACAACTGTGGAAGATGCTGATAAATTACTAAGTTATTTCACAGTTCAGAGCCAGAAGTGTGCATTCATTAATTTTTTTTGTTGCATTTGAAAAATTTGGAATCAGACAGCGCTACTGGGGCAGCTGTTTCTTCCTGGTTTCGAGGTCTGGAGAAAAGTAGTGACACATTTCCTCATTTTTATGTGGGCTGGTCGTGTTGTGTAGTACAGCACTGGCCTGAGTTCTTCCACTGGCTAAACCTTTTCAGGGCTTGGGCTCTTTTTTGCTGTGAGTAGCTGTGCTCTATATGCCCTCTTTCACTTAAATAATAAAAAAGAAATCAGCAAGCGGGAGCTCTTTGTTACAGTTTCATGGAGACAAGTCTCATCCAGCATGGCTTAGCAGCCCTTTCTGAGCTGGGGAGGGGAGAGGGAGCTCTCAGCCCTTCCCCTGGTCCCTCTGAGCTCTCTTGGTGCCTGAAGCCCTAGAAATACGGGCATCCCATTCCCTTCATGAAACTTATGCAGAAAGTGGTGGTTTCTTTGCAAAGCTGGGACCCTGAGGCCTGGGTTTGTCCCACTCAGCTTCAGATGCCTCAGTCAAAGGCTGCGTGGCTGCAGGAGATGGAGGGAGAGTGAGGCACATCCAGAGGGCAGTTGATGTAGTGCTGAGTTTGGGGACCGAAGGCAGAGGTTTGTCCTTCAGTCAGAAATGCAGGAGGATGAATGGGGCTGCTGGAGACGATGGCCATATGCTCAACTGCGGGAAGGGGACTGTGCTACCACACTGCTGTGCAGTTTGTTCAGGGCCGTGCTTGGCTATCCAAGTCACCCCAAACCAATCCTTTTGTGAATCCTGTGTTACTAAGCCCATCTGAGAGGTGTCCTGCTGATGTGAGGTGCTTGGGGAGATTTTACTATGGTCTAATTAGAGAGGACATAAAAAATGTGAAAGACACTACTGATGGCTGCTACCGGATGCCTGCCCGGCTTCTCTGCTTGCCCCAACCTCTACTCCACCACCTACCACCAAAACCCACCTCAGACCTGCCTTTTCAGCTGGGACCCTTCAGTTGCCCCAGGTCCAGTTTGGAGTCAGGACTCCCCTTAAAAACCTCCTTTATTCAGGCTTTCAAAAACTCCTGGAAAGCTACGCTTTGGACAATCCAAAGCAATAGGCTACACTCGGGGAAATGGCATTGTCATTCATTTTGCCCAGTCCCCTTAAAAAAATCTCTCTCTATGAGAGGCTAATTCCATAAGAAACTGAAATTTTAAACTATGTCACCACAGAGGGGTAGCATTGAAAAACCTTTTATACCTGGGCTTTGGTTTTTCTTTATTTTCTGTGTGCCTGGCCTGGTTTTCATTGTTTGTCTGTATCTATAGGCAAGCCAGGGCTTTAAGGAAGCATTACTAAAACTGGTGAAAAAAATTCCTGCCACATTTAGTGTGGGCAAAGGACACGATGCCTTCAGTGACCTGAAGAGATGCACTTTAGTAAAGCAGAGGGTTTGAGCGTGGTGGAGGAACAGAACTGTACAGAATTACACCCGTCATGCAAAACCACAAAAGCCAAGAGGAGTACTGGCAGAAGCATCAAAAAATATCTGTTAAGTGACATAGCAGCCCAGGAGGCCTCCTGTCACTGTCTCCCTTGTGATGGAGCGGGAAATAAACTTAAAGGACAAGAGAGGCACAGGGCCTGTCCTCCTGGGGTGAAGGAGGCCAGGAAGGACTCCTGGAGACTGGGAATGAAAGTTGGTTTTCTATTGTGTATCTGCCTCAGGCAAGGGTCTCACCAGGGCTCAAGCCTGGCTGTTTGCACACTATCTGGCACAGCTGATGTAGATCTGTGTACCCCTCCTTGAACTCTTGCTCTTTCTGAAATAGGCATTTCTGGCATTTCTTTGCTTATCAGCACTGCTAAATTTCCTGCCAACTTGATCAGAGCAGCTTATTTTGGGCTGTTGACTGCAAGTCACACCGGTCTTCTACTGCTCTTGTAGCCATCGCCACTGGAATTTGTATGGCCTCACCCTCTCCTTTCCTGGAGGATTAATTGTGTTAACTCCTAAAGTGAAAATCCATGACTTGCTTAAGTGAGGCATTCCCCTCAAGGTTGCATTTAGTGCAAATCTCTGTCCTGTTTTAAGTGCACTTCAGGGAGGAACGGTCAATTGATGTGGCTGGATGATTTATGTCTTACCAGCAGATGTTAAGGCATGCAGCAACCTAAAAGTTAACCCCCAGGAGATGACTCTGCCTGACTTGCCCTGAACACAGGGTGCTGTGTCTGGGTCTCCTAGTGCTGTATCTACGTTGAGAAAACCAGACATTGCAGGTGTAAACTGGAAGAGTTGAGGGCCTCCTGGTACACACTGACTCGTTCTCCTGGGGGGTACCTACTTAATATCTGGCAGACAGACGTCCTTTAATTTGTGACAGCATAGTGATCTTTGCAGGTGTCAAAAAAGGGTAAAAAAAAACCCCCAACATTAAATTTCTTTTAAAAGATGAGAAAAAGAATACTTAAAACAACTTCTCCTGTGTTGGCAGGAGAAGACAGCTAATAGAGAATTTACTATTCAAGTCTGGTGCAAAAGCTTTATGTTATAAGGGCTTTTCTTAAATGGGAAATGAAATCATGGACAATAAAAAGTAAATTATGGTTTAGGTTTAGTACAAAGTGGCCTTTATGGTTGCCAGCTCATAAAAGCAGTGGGTGAAACAAACCTCTGCACAGAAGAGCAGCCTTGTACCACCAATAAATCCCATTTAGCCTCTGCTTTGAGGATCTGTGTGATGTACATATGTGATTTTCATTTTGTCAGCCTCCAGATGCCAGAAATCCTAATTCTTGACATGTGGTGAAGGAAAAGAAATCAAAGCCTAAGCTTCTTCAGCCGTCAGGGGACATGATGTTCATGTCCCCTCTTCCTCCCAGCGGCGTCCCTGGCCGGGCCAGCCCGGTTGTCACGTATGTGACTCATGTGCTTTGTGCTGGCAAATGGGTTTGATCTCAGCTTGCTGCCAGCCTGCTCTTGTGCTTGTTCCCTTGCTGACAGTGAGTCAGGGCGCTGTGCCAAGCTGGGCTGGAGGAACAGCCAGCCTGCGGCTGCATGGAGTGCAGTCATGGAGAGCGTCTTAAAAATTGAAGGGAAGTCACTGCCACGGGGGAGCAGGACTTCACCTGTGTAAACCTTCTCTCTTTCTGGGTAGCTCTGCAACTTTGTGAAGGCAGGTCCTTAGGATATGCCTTTAGGGTTCCTCCACAGTAAGTTTTAACCTGAATGCGTGGTTATAACGCTGAGATGAACTGGCGTATGGGAGAGTGGTGCTGTAAGATTTCTCTGTCTGTCACAGCTTTGCTTCACCACCTGAGGCAGCAACCCTGGCCTCACTTCTCCAAAACAACGTTCGTCACGTGCAAACTTTGTGCAGAAGCCACTATTACTGTAAACACAAATAATCATATCCCCTTAGTAGGATTCAGTGACACTGGCTGCTTCTTACTGCTCCGTTTCACATTGCATTGTAAAATAAACACCTCCTAAGACTTTTAATGTGATCTGCAGCACCTGCCTCATGTCTGCGTGTCTTGGAGTGGGACAGATGTCCCAGGAAGAGCTGAATTGTCCTGGCAAGTTGTTGAGTCTTTCTGGCCTCAGGGCCTTTCAGTGGTGAGATTTTCTGAGCTCTTACGCTTGTTGCATGTTCATCTGCAATAATTAAGAACCCCTTGAAATGGTGTATCTTTACAACAATAATGCATACAGTGTATGGCCCAAGTGCAAATAGCTTCAAAGGAAGTTAAATCACTATTTTCCCAATATTAATATTAATGAGGCTGAACATTTGCATTTGTGCTAAGTCCTCTTGTAGCATCAACGTTCTTTGAGGATTTTTCTCCAGATGAATGAAGCATTCCCCTCCTTCCCTCACTACTTCTACTAACAGCATCACTCAGTGCAGCAATAGATCAACAGTTCCCATTAATCTGTGAAAAGGCAGAGCTTAGAACAAGCACTTTTTGACATAATTAAATCTGACACTGCCTACCAGCATTCCTGGAGAAAGTACTAGTGGAGTTTCTTTAGAATATGTAAATACAAATAAAGTTCACCCTGAACAGTTGTCTTTGTTACAAACAAAACCCATTAGTTAGCAAGGAGAGTCTGGAGCGGGGCTGAATTCACACAGATCTCAAAGCCCTTCTCATATTTCATTTATAACCTGATGATTAATTCAGTGATTAGCTAATTCACTTGCAGTGATTAATTTAATTCATGTCTTCAGGCTAATGTTTAAGAAAGGAAAAAAGCCCAGCTCAGATAGATGCACATCAATGTCCTTGTGACTGAAAAATGGTAATATAATGCCCTGGAGAGTAAAGGAAAAAAGAAAGATCGAGAGAATCGGTGGCATGATGAGTTATAAGCTCTTGCCTAGTCTGTAGCTGTATTTTTTAGCTGTGATGTTTAAATGTGTCAGTTACTCTAATGATCAATGGTTTGAAAGATGAATCTAAGGGTCTTTCACTGTAGCTTTCCACTGTGTACTTTGAGAATGACGCTGCTTTAGAGCAGTCCTCCAGTTCTGCTTTTCTCTCATTTGTTTTGCCAGCTGCCTGCCAGCTCCCCTCCCTTTCAGCAACACCTTTCTCATGCCTTGCCAAATTCTTCGATGAGAGCACTTGATACTTCTTAAATCCAGGCTGTCTTTTTCTATTTCCAGCAGGATTTTCCTCATCTTTTGATGCAACATGAAATGAGGATGATTTGGGGGACTTCTCTGCATTAGACAAACCAGTCTCTTTTGAGACAGTATTTCTTTTACAATTTATGCCATCAGTTGGCAATGGAGTTTGATAGCTCTTGAAGTCACCCATGGGGCCTTCCTTTCCTGAGCCATCGTTGCTGTGCTTCTCTGATTGAGCTGAAGAGTGTAGCTGGTATTCCTCTCTTCTCTCAGGTCCACTCTTCATTTCTGGACTACCAGTTTTATACCTTGTTTTTTCATCAGGTGGTGGTGGAGATTGCTTCTTTTTGGCTGTGGCATTCTTTTCTTGAGGCTTCACCAGCGAATTTGAAGATGGGGACTGGCACATCCCAGAACCTGGATCTTTGCTTTTGTTGTTTACATCTCTTGCATCAGGCTTTGTAAAGCTTTCAGATACAGTTTGTTGTTTTTCTCCTCCTGGAGTATTTTTCTCAGGCTTTGATGATTTACTTGAAAGAGATAACTGATGGTTTTTATCATCCTCCTTTACAGCCTTTGCTTCAGTTGACCTGATGTCCTCTGCTGTTGGTGTCTTTTGCTTTCTGTCTCCTGAAGTACTTTTTTCTTGGGAATTCACCACGTTCTTTGAAGAGGCTGACTTCTCAGAATTTGGATCTCCATCTTTTTCTTCAACAGCATTAGTACCTGCAGAAGGTCGCACTTGTTGTTTTTGTTCTGGAATATTTTTTTCTTGAGGCTTAACCAATGTTTCTGATGATACTGATCGGTACTTCTTGGAACTTGTGATTTTTTTCTTCTTTTTTGCAGCATTAGTATCAGATGCTGTAAAATCTTCACATCTCGTTTGCTGCTTATCTCTTCCTGGAGTGTTTTCCTCATGCTTTGCTGATTTTGTTGAAGGAGGTAGCGGATACTTCCCAGAAGGCTGGTGCTCATTATCCTCTTTTACAGCCTTTGTTTCAGGTGACCTGGTGTCCTCTGCTGCTGTTGTCTTTTGTTTCATCTCTCCTGAAGTGTTTCTTTCTTGAGGCTTCAGCACTTTGTTTGAAGGTGACTGGAGCTTCTCAGAGGTGTGTTTAGTCTTTTTTTCAGCCAACTTAGTTTCAGGCTTTACAAAGTCACCTGGTGACATCTGCTTCTGTGTCTCTGGAGGGGATGATTTCTTGTCTTGCTTCACCAATGGATTCAGTGATGGTGTTTGATTTTTAGGATCACATGAAGTATTGCTTTCTCCTTCACAAATCTTTTTCTGCTGCACTGGTTCTTTTTTCAAATTGGGAAGGGTATTCTCCTCATCACTGGTCTTATTGTCCTGCCTTGATGCATTTCTTGTTGGCATTGAATAATTCTTGAAGTTTGACTTGATGTTTCTTTCCTCTGCACTGGCATTTGCCTGTTTCATTGGTTCATTTGATGAGGACGGGTTGTGTTTCCCATTATTGCAGCAGATGTTTTCATCTACTGTCAGATCACCTTCGTGTTTCACAAAATCTCTTGAAGGTGTTAGACATTTCAAACTCTGCCCATTATTTTTCACTCCTTGAATGTTGGCATCATGCTCTGATGACGGAAACTGGGGTGTCTGAGTTCTATGAGCATTCTCCTCATTTGAAAAGTTATTATCATGATCCATGGTATCACTTGGTATGGATACTTGTATCTCCTCAGATTTATGCAAGACATTTCTCTCTTGTATCTCTGTATCCATCTTACCATTTTCATGTTTCGTGTCATCATCTGATGACAAGATCTTATCCTTTTTATGTTTGGAGAATTTACAACTACTTTTTGCATGCTTCTTTTGGTCTGAGACCAATTCAGTTGAGGAAGGAAACAGGTTCTCTCCCAGCATATCACTTACTTGCTTCATGGTATCATCTGAAGTTGGTGTTTGGTTCTTCTCCAAGGGTAATAGGGGTTTTCTTGCTAGCATGGTTTTATTTTCATCTTTTCCTGGCTTCTTGGTTGTAAGTGAAAGACAATTCTCAATGCTCTGACATGTATTTGTCTCTTCGGCTCTAGAGTTTTCATTTTCTGTTTCATGATTTGGGGACAGCACTTGGTTCTTGAAATCACATGCAGTTTTCTTCTCCAGTGTAGTATCATTTCCACAGTTTGTCAACTCATCTGAAGAGGGTAGTGGGTGCTTCGGACATCCATGGCTGGCATGCTTATCTTCCACACCACCAGCTCCCTGTCTCACCAGATCAATAGGTGCAAGGGCTGGGGGATTTCCAAGAGTGTGATGGATTCTTTGTCCTGCAATCCCACTCATTGGTGTTGGCAAAGGGTTTGATGAGGGTGACTGGCATGCCTCAGATTCAGGCCAGGGCATCTCATCTGCAGTGGCCTCTTCAAGCTCAACGAAAGATTTGGATTGACTGTGACAGGTCTCCAGGTCAGTCAAAGTACTCTTGCCCAGCGCTTGATTGTTTGCATGATTCATCATTTCATTTGAAGAAGATAATTTGTGCTTCCCAAAATCTTCTTCTGTGATGTAGAAGCTGTGCTTCACAAGGTCACCTGGCAAAGGACTTTGTGTCTTTTCCAACTGAGAAGAGATGTGCTCTTCTTCTGCAGCACCAGGCTTCTGCTCCTGGCTCTTGTTTGAGGAGAATGTAGGTTTGGTCTGATTTACATCTGAATTTGATATGTCAGCACTGAAATTACCGAAGTTATTTTGTGGGCTGGGTATTTGAGGAGGCTCTAGCTGCTTGGTTTTGGATTCATTTTGCATTTGGCTGTTGGGTGTTTTATTCTCCTCTTCCTTTTTAGTTGGGACATCACTATCATTTTTGCTAGAAGTAGAGGATATTTTGTCTTCACTGTGATATTTCACTCCTTCTTTGGCTTCCTCAGCATGTTTGCCTCTTAAACCTGGTGCCTCTTTTTGGACTATTGGTGGTCTTTTGCAAGAAGCTGGTGTTGGGACAGTTAGCTGCCGATCCTCCATTGGAGGCTCAACTTCATAAGATGCTTGAACTCCTGGAGAGTGAAGTGGCAGAATGCTTTCCAGTGCTTTCTGCTCTGGAAAACAATTTTGGTCTGCAAAGAAAGGATCCTTTTCTGGCTCTGAGCGCTCTGTGTCAGCTTCCTCTGAACTGTATACATACATCGTTATTTCAGGAATCTCACCTATATTAGTATCCTGAGAACTTTGTTCATGGGATCCTTCAGCTGTGCTACAGTAAGGCAAGTTAGAAGGCGGGATGTCTTCCTTGACATGTTGCACAGCATTGGTAACCCACAGTAGTGAAGATGTATCAGGCCCAACTGGCGTGGTATTCCTGTCGCAGTCTAGACTACGTTCAGACGAGGGAGGAATGCAGTCTGCAAGAGCTTTGTTTTTACCAGTAGTAGAAGAGCTATCTAGATTAGGGTTAAAGTTGGGTGCTTGCTTTGTGGAGTCTATTTTAGCCTCAGTATGATCCTTTGTATCAGACGTGACCTTGGCTGCCACTGTTAACTCTTCTTTGTCCTCCCTGTCCTGTGCTGCATTTGCTGGTGTTTTGCTCTCACCAGGCTCTCTGTCAGACCCCCCTTTTTCCTTCAGTGGTGTGTCATGACCGAAAGGCTGCTTCGCGGCATTGTTTTTCGACCAGCTCCAAGGGTGGTTAATTTTGGTAGCGATGCTGAGTCTGGGCACTGGGACGGTGGAGCACACTAAATATTGGGACTCTGGACTGTTTATACCTGTGGCTGTCATTGCTGCCGTGCGCAGCACTCTGACCTCTGGCTTACGAATGGTTTTTCTGCTCGGGAAGTTTTTGGTCTTTTTCTCACCTTTGCGCAAGAGCGATGCTTTCACCTCTGCGGCTGAGCAGAGAGCGCTTTGTTCAAACTGCTCCTTCAGTTTGGACAGGACTGAACTCCTGTTGACTATTTTTGGCAAACCACTGTTTGGCACCTTCTTTTTCCAGCTGGGAGACTTCTCCTTGGCTTCTTTTTCTTCAGCAGCTAAAAATTTCTTCAGGATGTTCTTCACCGTGTTTTTCCCACTGGCGCCGCTCCACCTGGCCCTCTCACTGGGCGCTGTGTCTGCATCCTCCTCTGCTGCTTTTCCATCTCCTTTCCTGTCTCTGCTTCTGTCCAGCTTGTTACCAGCCCTACTCACCCACAGCTTCTCTTTAATGACCAGTTTGCCGACTTCTCTTCTTTTCTTGGTGTATGGCTCACGGTTGTTGTTTAGAAATCTGGACCGCAAGAGCTGAAATCTGGTGGGATGCTGGCCCCTGTTTGGATCTGGACACGGCTGGTTATAACTCACCTTGTTTTCTTTACCTTCTGCCCATTTCGTCCTCTTGCTGCTGAGCTGCGGATTGCCAGCTGCGAGCTCGGTGACGTACAGCAGCAGGCTGCTGAGGACAGCAAAGGCCCCTTGCTCTGTTGCCATCCTATTGAGCTTCTTCTTCAGCACCAAAGGGTCTACCAGCATCTTATCATCTCCACAAAAGCGTGTGCTTTTGGTGCTGTGCAAGAGAAAACATGAATGTTCTTTTCAAGTCATCAACATTGCTGCTCCCTCCTTATTCTGCTTTAATGGCATGCTGCTGTGCATAAAATGGAAAAAAATACTTTAATTTAGAACTTCTCAAGAGAGTTGTCGTTAGTGGCCTGTTAAAAAGCATGCAAAGTGCTTTATAAGCTTCGTGAGGCACAGTGTAGCGGGAGCGCGCAGGGCTTCACATGGTCCCACACGGCACCGTCGGCTCTTTCTTCTGTGTTTTGTGGCCAGTGGAAGCATTTAGGGGAGCAAGCAAAGCCAGTTGGTGTGACCGCATCTCCTCTGTGCCGCTTCTCACTCATTTAGTATTACCGTGTCCTAATGCGAGGGCAACATCAAAGGTGTTTTCCTCTCCTGCTAGGTAAAGTGTAGGCAAAGATAAATATTATGAGAACACAGTTAGCAGGAAAACATGGTTCTGCTTCAGGGTTATAACAACAGACTCAAACCTTTAAAACAAAATAACAATGCTGAGGAGCACAAATATGCCACTGATAGTTTTTGCTATTGGTACAGGTTAGAAGTCAGTATGTACCTCTCCGGAATTTAAAAAAAAAACCAAAACACCACAGGATTTGCAGGATTTACTTGTTGATAGCATTCAAATCCCCCATCAGGACTATGCTGTTCAATCTGCTGTGTGAAGCGTAGCACCACCGCAACAACCCTGGCAATGTCCCTTGTCTACGACTCCCTTTAATCTGGAGCAAAGAGGCTGATACATTGGACCTGCACTTGAGTTTGAAGGATCAGGCCCTTGGACAGCTGGGGATTTAGGCAATGCTTTAATTGGTGTGGATCAGTTACTAAATAAAATTCTGAACTCAGCACAAAAGCTGGAGCGTGAAGTCAATAACAATAGATGGGGTTAGGAGGGAAAAAAACCAAGAGGTGTCGGCTTTCTGACACCGCAAAAAACTGGAAGGTTACTTCACCGTGCAGTGAAATAGCTTCATGCACAGAATGCAGCCTGCATAGCGGGAGGGGATTACTTTTTATGAGCAGAAGTGGAATAAAAAATTCTTTAAATTAAGCCCACATGTAGAAGATGAAGAAAGGTTGCAAAGAGGCTCATCCATCAGGGAGTGTCAGCCTCGAAAGGCTGGGGAAGGCCCAGCTGTGCCCCAGCAGCTGGTACCCCATGGACTCTGAAAGAAATTGGACCCAGCCCCCCGCTGTGATATTACAGGGGCTGTTTGCAAAGTGGGGGGCTGGTCCTCGTCCAGTCGGGTAGTGACATTTGGATTCCATTTGGCTGCATTTCAAGTGCACATGTTGAAAATTACATCCCTCAGCAGTGGGATGAAGTTGCCATCTTGAATGGAAGAAGGTCTATTTATAACGACTTTGTAGATATTTTTAAAGGCTAATAAAAGAAAAAAGTGTGACAACTGGCCCATGTCTAATGTGACAAACAATACCCTGTAGGTTTTGATTGGGAATAACCACATTTCAGCGTAGCACAGGTGCACGCTCCCACATTCACAATGTGGTAACATCTACCCTTTCCCTTACTGAATTGACCACAGCCAAGGAAGCAATGCTCCCATGTTACACCAAGATCCCTGTTTGCCACAACTATGGGAATTTTCAGAATAAAGAGAAAAAAACAGAATTCAGAGTATAATTAAGGCTGAAAATATCCTGGTTCACCCCTATAGCCAGTCTCCTGGTATTTTGACTGAAAACTTGCCATGGCAGAAGATTGCTCCTCTCCTCCCTAAGAAGTGCCTGGTATATTCAGAAACACACATAAGGCCATCTCAAACAGCATGATTTAAGGTCGTCTCTGATCTCTCACAACAGCAGTGGAACCAAATGCGCTTTTTACCTCTCCCTTCTGGACTACTTTGGATACAATAAATGGCCACAGTAAAATATGGAGTAATCCTGCTTTCAATGAGGTCAGCATAGCCAAACTACTATTAATTGTGAAGGGAAGAAGATCAGACCCTCTTTACTATGAGTATTCGAGGTAATTAATCACTTAAGAGCTAAAAAATGTGAACAGCTTTATTAAAATATATTACTAGTGAGCTCTGCTCAAAGTTTTCCTTTTATGCTTTTGGTAAAATATATGTTAGAGCATTCTTATAGGATGCCTTCTGAAACTTAGCATTTGTGGGAATACTGCATTGCCTTAATTACCAAGACATGTTGCACTGGTTGAGTGCTTGATTCATATTCACCAGCAAGTAGCAGCAGATGGGCAAACAGCTATGACACCTTTTTAGGGCATCTGCAGTTCTTCCAAGATGACCGCACCTACAAACCAGCATCACGACTGTGTAACTCTGAAATGCATTCTGTGCAAGGGCTATGATACAATGACACTAAATTCTGAGACCACCACATAAAATGTAGGTAGTGATGAGATTGCATTGTCCCAATGTTTGGAAAATACCATGCGTCCACCTTGGGGAAGGAGGGCAAAGGTGGAGGGCTTCTCAGGTTTGGAAGCATGACCACAATTTTCAACAGGCCAAGACATCAACCCTAGTATTTCTTCACGACCTTTTCCCAAGTTGCATCCTGCTGTTCTTAAACTATGTCACCTATCAATGAAATATAGTCACCTCTGTATCAATTAGAGATAGCCAACTCTAGTCCCACCTATGGCCAGGAGGAACTAGGCAGGCATCCCCTGTGCCCAGGGGGAACCCCATGCCAGCAGAAGTCACTTCCCACCAGATGACAAAGCAGATACTTGGGCTCCTCCCTGATGCTGTGAAATGGCCTAACATGGACTTCAGCCTCCTTGCTCCTCTCCTCCCCTGAAGATGTTTTTTTGGTTTCTGGAATCCTTACTGCATCATTTTCAGTGTCGAGGACAGACCACTTGGACCTCCAGAGGAGGCAAGGCCACTTTCAAAAGTTTCCTGTCTTCTTGGCCCACAGATAATTAAGATACATAAGACAGGCAGCTCAGTTATTTATTTATAGGTTCTTTGGTGACACTTATCATGGCAGCATCGGAGTGGCAACAGCCTGATATGCTAATGGGCGGCAGTGCAACCCTATCCCGCTGGCTGGCCTGTCCCAGGGAAACCTCTGCAGCAGCCATCGCCGTGTCATGGAGCGGAGGAGACCTGATGGGCCGTGGCGGAGGGAGAGGAGCCAGAGATCTCCCCCAGCCCTGCTCTGCACCAATGCACTCCTGTCTTTCCGCCCTGTTAGGGCTCGGGGGGCTGCTGAGTAGCAGGGGGCGATGGCATCCCGTGGCATTTGTTAAAAGCGTATGGCTAAAGCAGTTTCCTGTTTACTGTCTCTGGTATGGAGAAGAGAAGAGAAGGCCCTATCACTTGACCCTGAATTACCTGCTAAATATCTGACCACCATTTTGCACAGCCTGGCAACCCAAAGGACTACCTGCTGTGGGGGCAGTGCTCAGGACAGGAGATGGGCAGGAGGAGGCAGCGCTATGGAGACTTCATCAAAAGGGGAAAAAATTTGGAAAACACTGCCTGACTCTCACAAGCTGCCAGAGATTGATGGATTGCTCTGACTCGCTGTTGGTTGGCTCTGGGGAAATGGCCACGAGCTGGAGCATGCAAGATACTGCATCCTGTAGGCCCTGTCATGCCCAGGCACCCCTGTCGCTATCCGGCTCTGAAAGGTGTTTGGTTCAAAGAGCTGCCTGTAGCTAAGGAAGGCAACCAGGAGGAGCAGCTCTGCCTGCTTGGACCAATGCACAGACCTTGTTAGTGTTGTCAATGAAATGAGGGCCAACATGCCGGTCACCTCCACAACTGCAGAAATGGTGCTTTACAAGTTCAGTCTTTCGGAACCACCTTTTATTTCCTATTATCCTATTATCCTATTTGTCTCTGAAACAAACTTGGTCCTCCCCAGCCTGGTTAGAAGGTAAAGTGGGAACAGTTATGAATTCTCTTCATTTTTTTTGTGATTTTTTTTTCTATAGGAAGAGGAAAAGCCAAAGTACTAGAGAAAATCCTACCTTATGCAGGGTATGTTCTTCTCTCTTCTCTATTGCTGAATTTATTACAGGTATGCTAGAAGCATCCTAAACTAGAAGGAATGTTTTTAGAAACTCTTGGTATTTTCTTAAATCAAAAGCTACTGAGACAAATACTCCTTTTGGTTTAACATATCTCCAAAGCAAACAAGAAAGCACCTTGCGAAGCTGCAAAGAGAAGACATGCTCAAACAGTGCTTGAAGTAGCTCGTAGTACGGAAAACCTTTTCATACAGATATTGTCATGCAGGCTGCTATTCATAATGACAGGCATCACCTGCTCCTCTTTCTGCAACATAGCATCCCAGTGACGATTGCAGCAATTGTTTACATGGAAAAAGGGGTAGGAAAGTACTTATGTATTTTTAGCTATCTTTTAAACGCAGTTCAGCAGCTGGAGAAAGATAGGAGAAACCAACACCACGTAGGCATCATTAAGGATGAAGATTTGAAAGTGCTACGTAGACCTTAGCTTCTGAACTTCTGAGGTAAACCATAAGGTTAAACACCAGAGACAAATTCTGTGCTCACTTCTTCTGTGAATCTCCCTCACTGAGGTCTACTGTTTACTTTGTCTGCTGTACGTAACTTTTAACTGAATCATAGTTTGTTGGTTTTATTGAAAAATAAAAATGGAAAAAAGAAAAAAGGAAAAAAGAAAAAGAGAAAAAGAAAAAGAAAAAGAAAAAAAAGAAAAAGAAAAAGAAAAAGAAAGAAAAAGAAAAAGAAAAAGAAAAAGAAAGAAAAAGAAAAAGAAAAAGAAAAAGAAAGAAAAAGAAAAAGAAAAAGAAAAAGAAAGAAAAAGAAAAAGAAAAAGAAAAAGAAAGAAAAAGAAAAAGAAAAAGAAAAAGAAAGAAAAAGAAAAAGAAAAAGAAAAAGAAAGAAAAAGAAAAAGAAAAAGAAAAAGAAAGAAAAAGAAAAAGAAAAAGAAAAAGAAAGAAAAAGAAAAAGAAAAAGAAAAAGAAAGAAAAAAGAGAAAAAGGGTGAAAAAGGGAAAAAAGAAAAGAGGAAAAGGGAAAAGGGAAAAAAGTAAAAAGGTAAAGCAGTTGTAACTGTTTTCTTCCTGGGTTTTTTGTGGTGCTCAGTCTTGTGAAACGCATCACAGCCTGACTTCTGACCTATTACAACTGCTTGAAGACGTCAGCCAAGAATTCTGATACTGATACAGCAACACATAATCTGTTCAATCTAAAAATAAAGAACGATGCTTAGAAAATAGTGTAAGATTAATTTATTTACAAATATTTCAGCCAGTTTTATTTTAAAAAAAACATTTGTTCTGAAGACTGAAGAATGATAGAAGTGTAATTCAGAAATTTTAGGCACACTGATGTTTTGCTGTTCCTTGAGGGTATTTTTAGTGTTGGCTTTTCCTTTTCTGGAAGCTTCTAATGTAACAATACCTTGCACCACAGTGCTGATGCAGGGATCAGAGATTCATTAAAAGCTAATCCGCGAGACATTAGGTTTACAAGTGTCACAGACACATTAGATTTGAGAACAAGGAGGAACAGCAGTGGTGAAAGGATTGTCAAATATACAGAGAATATCCCCATAAGTGGGTACTACCATTAGTTTTGCAGGAAAGCATTAGTTCTGAAAATTAATTTTGTATGTGTAATTACTGGTCACAGCTGTTTAGGAAGTGGTATTATAGCAAGTTAGACTGAAATAAACCAAAAGAGGTTTTATTTATTTTTTTCCATTTGAGATTATCTTACTGGTTTAAGCAGCACTCTTTATACTCAGAAATCCCTACATCTGTAAAAAAAAAACAAACACAAAGACCACAAATATCTAAGCAGTCTTGAATAATCCAGCTACCTTTTCTTGCACACAATCTACATACAGCCTTCCAGACTAACTCCCGACTAATTCCTTCACTATGAACATCAGTCAGTTATCTACAGGGTTTGATATAGTCTTTATAGAAAGAGAAAATGGCAGAAGCCGCTTTACTTTTCCTCCATGGATAGTCGGTAAAGATTCTCGCCCAAGTACTCGAGCCTCTCCCGTTGTTCCAGGTCCTGGTACAAGCCTTTGGGGACCTTGCTCAGGCCGTAAACCAAACCATACAGGCAGCCAGCGATAGACCCAGTAGCCGCGCTTTCTCCTGCAGGTTTAAGCACAATTGCCGTGGTCTCTTAGAGTCACCTTTACATACACAACCAAAAACCGCGCTGCACAGGGGAGGAAATATTACGCTGTCGCCAGAGTGTGGTGGGGGCACGTTGGGTCAGTCCCAAAGGGTCTCACCACCCCGTGTCCTGCCTCTGGTGGTGCCAGGAGAGGGTGCTGAGGGGAGAGAGCGATGCCAAGGCAAGGATGCTTATTTTGTTTGAGGAAAATCCACTCCAACACAACAGCTTTTGCAAGTAACTAGCCATCGCTAGGAGTGAAGAGTAGTCGCAGGGCTCCCTGCTACCTGGGTGAACATCCTGGACTGGAGAGTGTACCTTCCTTGTTAACAGCACAGCATGGCATTGCACATGCTTTAAAACATCTAGTCATGGTGAATGGCAGTGATGCTCCATGCAATGCCCGTGGGTTTGTAGGGCTCTGCAGCAAAAGGGGCCATGAGCTCTCTCGGTTTCGCTATGTGCAATTAGAAGGTTGCATTGCCAAAGTCACTACAGACCCCACCTGGAGTACTGTGTCCAGCTCTGGGGCCCTCAGCACAAGAAAGGCATGGACCTGTTGGAGTGGGTCCAGGGGAGGGCCATAAAAATGATAAGAGGGCTGGAGCACCTCTCCTATGAGGAGAGGCTGAGAGAGTTGGTGTTGTTCAGCCTGGAGAAGAGAAGGCTTTGGGGAGACCTTGCGGCAGCCTTTCAGTACTTAAATGGGGCCTACAGGAAAGATGGGGACAAACTTTTTAGCAGGGCCTGTTGTAATAGGACAAGGGGTAATGGTTTTAAACTAAAAGAGGGACAATTTAGACTAGATAGAAGGAAGACATTTTTTATGATGAGTGTGATGAAACACTGGAACAGGTTGCCCAGAGAGGTGCTATATGCTCCAGCCCTGGAAACATTCAGGGTCAGGCTGGATGGGGCTCTGAGCAACCTGACCTAGTTGAATATGTCCCTGCTCCTTGCAGATGATCTTTAAAGGTCCCTTCCAACCAATCAATTCTGTGATTCTGAGATTCTATGATTTTGGCGGGGGAAGATGCCAGCCCTTTGCTAAGTCATATCGGATTTACTTTTCATGCATCCTCAAAACCGTGAGGCTCAGAGCAACGTTTGAAAAGCCATGTGAACCGCTAATGTGGCAACCGCCACCACAAGAAGGGGGTTTTGGGTGTAAAACCAGGGGTGCAGGTATAACAAGTGGCATGGCAGATTGGCCAACAGTGGCAGCAGACAGCCAGGAGGGCTCTCTCCCACCCCTGGGGACAGGAGCCGCAGGGGGCCCTCACCTCCGTGGAACATGGAGCGGTTGCAGAGCTCTGTCCAGTCCCCGCCGCAGCCCAGCAGGGCGTCGTAGGCGATCATGGGGGCGTCATGGCCTCGTCTGCCCCCTCGGCCTTCGGAGCTCCACCTCCGGTACGTCTGCGGGAGAGACAGAGGCGTCAGGGTTGGGCACTGGAAACAGGGATGCGGGGATGTGCAAGGGTGGCTTTTTCGCTGCCGGATGAGCCAGCACAGTGGCAGGGCGCGCCGCCGCAGCCCAGGTGATGGCCAGGGGCAGGTATAAGCCCACATCCCACCTTAACGCACCACGTTCTCGGCAGGCCAAGCACTTGGCTTGATTTAAGCAAGCCAAGAATGCCAAAAAGTAGACCAAGATAGATCCCAAGTTCACACCTCAGAAATTTCTTGTTGTTTAAAAAATCAGGGCGGGTAAGGACTGACTTCATCAGTCCTATTCCTGCCTCTTGGAAATATTCTCAACTCCCCTTGTCACATGTTTGCAAATGTTCCAGTAAGCCAAGTTTTACATGGGGGGTGAAAAAGTCCTGTTTCAGCAATTTCTTTAGGGGCTCAATTTCAAACTATGTTAATTCAAGCCCCCTTCTCTGACTTTTTCTTGACAGACCCTTTCTCTCCTCTTCCACAAGCATTTATTGAACAAGAAGGAAAATAATTTGCAAATGTGAGAAACATTTCTTCCCCAGGAGAAGAAATAAGAAAATACCTCCAAAGCCCACAGCTAGGTTTGCAAAGGAAAACCAGATTTTCTCTAGAGGAGGTACCTCCAGAACTCACTTTTGTCTGCCCCAAATCCCCAGATGAACTCAACACTGACAAATTTGTAGTAAAAAGCCACAAACCTTCCTTTAAAGGAAATGGGCAGCTTTATTCCCTGAAGTTAGTGTTACATAATGGTAAGTTGAATTGTTGCTGCTTGGCTGGCCCTTGGCTTCTGCAACACGTATGAAGGGTTTGCATTTCTATCTATTCGCTTTCACCTCAGCTGTTGCAAACTTGGTTGTGGTTTATCTGCATATACATCAAACATGGCGGAGTTGGACTACAGCTTCACTCTGCTGCTTGCTTTTTATTTTGCAATCTAGAGAGCGTATTTATGTCTTTACGCTGTCCTTGGACACGTGCAAACTTTCCAGCCTTATCGCCGCCATTCAGGTGCTGGTGGAGCAGTAGTGACACAGGTATAATACTACCAAAGGCAAGAGGACTAAGCGTGGAGGTGCCGTTCTGGGTGCACAGGCAAGTGGCTCAAATGTCGCTCCAGGTAGCTCTTAAGAACAGTGATGCTCTGCACACATCTGATGTCATCTCGCCTTGCTGAAACAACTTTACACTGGGGATTGCTGTCCTCGGGACCGAGCCTGGGAGGGACTTAACTGCAGCAAGGCAGCATTTATCAAACATTTCAAAAGTGCCACCTGCCTTTGACTCCTGTGCCTTCATGCAGCCCTGCGATGTGGCACTAGCCCAGCTGCCCTCGGGTGGGTGAGGAGCGGATGGACGAAGGTGTCAACACACACTCCCT